ACAGGGTCAGAGTTAGAGATCCTCATGCCAGGCTCTTTTGTTGAACAAATTACCAGAGGGCTGCTGATATGCCAGGCAGAATTTGTCCCTAATTCTCTGTGAATAGATTAAAAGCATGGATTTAGTTCCAAGAGGCACTGGCTGTGCTTAGCCTGGCTTGGCAAGAGGAAAGGCAGAGCTTCAGGGAAGTGTCAGGAGAAGAGCTGCACTCCTTGCTTTGCAGCTTGTTTGTGCCCAGCACTGCCTGGGAGGGGTGTTCTTTGGGGAAGGGAGGAAGAACAATTTGGAATTTAGGAAAAGAATGCTTTTAAACAATCTGTAGATGAGCTAACTGCAAAACTTCAATTTGTCTCTTACCAAGACTCACTTTTTTGTGACTTACATGAAAATAATAACAGTTTATTTTTGTGTATGTGCAACCAGCATTTAAATAATTCTCTCATTAAGTACTTGGCTTGTGTTTCTTGCAAGGCAGTGCTGGCTTGGAGTGTGGCTCCATTGCAGTGGCCATGTTTTGGTGTGTTCTTTCCTCTGTTCTTTCTTTCTTCCTTTTTGGAATTTACTTGGTTTCTTTCCTTTGACTAGCATAGCATATCGTCGTGTCATTCGTGTCTATCAGTATGAAGTTGGGGATGATCTATCTGGAAGGTTTTTTTCCTCTTATTTTCTTACCTCACTTTGGTTTTCAAACGCACTCGTTAATTCAAGGCTCGCTTTCCTTCCAACTAACTTTCACGGCTTAGAGATGCTTGGAGGTTTGTTCCCTGTTGGTTCTTTCCACGGTTGGTTCCCAGCTTCCTGCTCAAGGCTCTGGGCGTGCGCTTCATCTCTAGGCGGGCGTTGAGTCTGAGCCTTAACCCTGTGGTGAGAAACACCCAGATGTTTGGTGCATTTTCATTGCTACAGAGTGATTCAGCACTTGAAAATCCCCATTCTCAAGAAGCTCAAAAACATATGGAAAGACAGAGTCCAGTGGGGATGAAAACTTGGTTTTAGTGACTGAAATACCAGAGATTCAGGTTTTAGGAACTTTAATACCCCAGAGTCAGAGGATGCCCCACCTGCACAGCACCCAGACTCACTGTCCATGTGGGTCATCAGGTGCGAGCTCTCACCGTACGTGTTGGAAGGACAGAGATTCCCAAACACGGCTGCATAGAGATTGCTTGGGATCTTGGGGTGGGGGAAAAGCAGCATCCAGAGACTGTCCATAGCTAGTCTGTATGAAGATCTTGGAGCCCCTGGCCACTGTGGGGACCTGCATGTAAAGCTCAGGGTGGAAATCACTGGGCAGAGTGGCTGAACCTCAGCTGCTCTGGGTGCAGCATGGAGAGGTGGGGTGGGCAAGGCACCTTTCCACCAGGCACTGCTGAGCAGCAGAGGTCTGTAGCTCTCTGCAAGGATTATGCCACATTAAGACTACTTTTCAACCAAACCAGTAGTTCTCACCATCTTTTTTTTTCCCTCATTTTTCCCCTTTGTAACACACCTTCGTAGAGCTCCTGTACCTGACTGCAAATACAGCCCATCCCCAGTGACTCACCTGCAGTTGGTGTGTGTGGTGTGTGCTGGGCACGGGGCAGGGAGGTGGGACTGCACTAAATTCTAATTCCATGAGGTCCAGTACAGCGGGTGCTTTGAGTCTGGCATGAAGTGTGGCTGCTGATCACGTTGCCTTTCAAATGGGGCTAGAAATTAACTGTATACAGAAATAAGAATCAGACAAAATGTACAGTGTCAGTCTGAAATAGGATGAGTCAGAATAAACAAAACACAAAACCAGTGTTTAAATATCTGAAAGGATTTTTCATTTCAAGGAAGGACTGTTAATTTCAAGCCCCACATGCCATTTTTTTATAAGATAAGTGCCTTCTCTCACTGTTTTTCTATGTTTAGGTCATGTATGGTGGAGGAATCGGGAACACTGGAGTCACAGCTAGAAGCTACTAAAGTAAGTGATGTGCACCTATGGCTAAAACAGAATTTCCAACTGGCTTGGGAACACAGAGCGGGAAGGAAAATGCATGGAACTGTGTGGGAAAACATTAATTGATTCTAGACATTTGGAATACTGAAGAGACCTCTGGGATTTTCTGTTTATATATCTGATATCTGCTTACATCGCAGGCCATTAAACAACAGTGATGTAGTTTTCCTTTTTTTTTTCCTTTTTCTTAAAGGAGGTGGGGTAGGGCAGAGAGGATACAGTATTTTTAGCACATTTCCTAATAAGAAGGTTTTTATTCAAGTCCTAGGAGAAAAAGAAGGGTATAACCCTTCTTCCCCTGCCAACCTCTGTTCTAACTTTTTAAAGGTTTTTTTTTGTTTGTTTTTTTTTGGTGCTCCATGATTTCTCTCCTCTTTGCTCCCTTCTCACAGCGCAAGCACCAAGAGATCCGAGCTATGAGGAGCCAGCTGAAGAAGATTGAGGACCTTGGAGCAGCCATGGAAGAGGCACTTATCTTGGACAACAAATACACAGAACACAGCACTGTGGGGCTGGCACAGCAGTGGGACCAGCTGGACCAGCTGGGGATGAGGATGCAACACAACCTGGAGCAGCAGATCCAAGCCCGGTACTGCCTGGCCCACGTGTGGTTTGATGTTTCTGACGGGGGGTGGGAGGGAAGACAGGAGCCACAGCTGCCCATGCCTGCAGCCAGCCTTGCATGGTCTGTGCTAAAGAGTCTCCTGTGCTCAGAACAATGGATGCACTGAGCTTGTACAGCCCCACCACCTCCCAGTTCCCTTCAGAGGGATGAAGTAAGCAATTTTGGAATAGCTCCTGTTGGCCATGAGCAAGGGTGGGATCTCAGTGGAACAGTTTTATTCTGTGGAATAAGTGCGTACAAGGGTTCCCACATGGAATGGTTGTTTGCTCCTTTGTCCTCAGCGTGTGGTGCAGCTGCTGGACTCGGACTACCACAGCTCAGGAACTGCTACTCATCTTTGCTGCTTCCTTTTCAGGAACACCACTGGAGTCACTGAGGAGGCCCTGAAGGAGTTCAGCATGATGTTCAAGTGAGTTTCAAGGAACATAGGCCAGAGGAAGGCTTGGAGGATATTTCTGGCACATGCATGGCTCCTGTTTGCAGGATCCATTTGTGGTTCCATTGTTGTCTGCCCTACTTTGTGCTGAGCCATTCCATTCTCTGCCAGAGGGCAACAGCCTGCAGCCCCTGCTGCTGACAGTGCCAATGCTTTCCAGCTGGGAATACAGCTGGGGTTTTTTTGGTGGGGAATGGGTGGGTTTTAAGCAAAGTTAAGAATTTGTGCATATTTTTCATGTATGCTAGGTAGAACTATTTATTGATACAAACCTATTTGTACAGAATAGGGGCTGGTTATAAGCTTGATCTAGTTTTCTGCTCACTTTACAGCTCTCAGGACTCAAAAACTAACATATGTGGGTTCTGGTTTTGTTTGTAGGCACTTTGACAAGGACAAATCTGGACGACTTAATCACCAGGAGTTTAAGTCTTGCTTACGCTCTCTCGGCTACGATCTGCCCATGGTTGAGGAAGGAGAGCCAGACCCTGAGTTTGAGTCTATTCTTGACACTGTAGATCCCAACAGGTATGCGAGTTGGACCTTTCTGCACTGCAAAATACATGGAGGTGTTGGCTGGGGAGTTGGCTGGAAAGTCCTTCACGGGCTGAGAGCTGTGGTTGTTTTTACAGTGACTCATGTGAAAGCCTTGAGGAAGGCAAGACTGACATTTGTAAAGAAGAAATTCACTTTGAGAGAATGTTCTGGTGTTGAGTCTCCTGCCTTAAGACTTTCACTCCTTCCAGAACAGCTCCAGCCCCTCTCTGGAGGGCCTGGCAGTGCTGTGCTCTGGGTGCTCACACTGTGTTTCATTGGCAGGGATGGACATGTCTCGCTGCAGGAGTACATGGCCTTCATGATCAGCCGGGAAACGGAGAACGTGAAATCCAGCGAGGAGATCGAGAGCGCTTTCCGCGCCCTCAGCTCCGAGGGGAAGCCCTACGTGACCAAGGAGGAGCTCTACCAGGTAAGTGCTGTTTGTCAACCCCCAGGGAGGAACACAAGACTTTGATTCATAGATAAAGCCCAGCACTAATGGCTTGGAGGCTCATGTCACTGAGGCTGAGTCAGTTCTGACCCTCCAGGGGATCCCCTGCAGCAAACACAGATTGCTGTGACAATCCTACTCAGTTCTCAAAGAGGAAGAGGAAAAGCTTTATGTACCAAAGAACTGCTCAGGTTGAATAAAACAAGAGCTATTCAAGGGCCTGGAAGGGAGTGCACTGTCCTCAGAACTTCCCTTCCATCGTTTGGGAAATTACAGATGGGGGATGTTTCTCCAGACAGCAATTCAAAGGAAGAGTTTGAGCCTAAGTTTAGACAGTATGAACATCTCCTCCCTCTCACTGCCCTGCCAAAACAGCAAGTTTTTCCTGTCTGAATACCACCAGCTGGCAGGGAAATAAAGAGTTTGCAGTGCTTCCTTGTCCCAGTTACCTGTTCTGTCTTCTGTTTGGTGGGAAGACTCTGGTCAGGCCTTCCAACCCTTAGCCCAATAGTGCCAACAGCCAGAGCATTTCCATGCTGGGTGTAGTTGTGCTGCTCTGGTTTCTGCCCCGGGGAATGGGAGGGCTGCCTGTCAATGCCCCTTGGCAGCCCCACAGCCCTCTCACCCCCACGCTGTCTCTCTTTCAGAACCTGACCCGGGAACAGGCCGATTATTGCATCTCTCACATGAAACCCTACATGGATGGCAAGGGCAGGGAACTGCCTTCTGCCTACGACTACATAGAATTTACACGTTCACTCTTTGTGAATTGATCTGAAACACTAGTACCAAAAGATGCAAAGGACATGCTCACGTTTGCTGACTGTAGCTCTGCATGTGTCTCTCTCTCTTTGTGCTCTACAATAATCAATGTTACTTTATGATGTAACCTTAAAGTGCTTAGCTTAAAACTCTTAGGGAACAGAAACATGTTGCAGTGTGCTTCAATAAAAGTTACTGGTCGAACCACATCATCTTGTGTTTAATGGTTAAATGAAAATGTAACTGTTATGTGGAGGCAACTCCAGCTGTTCGTTACCTGTGTTTTCCACACTAACACTGGAACAGGTGAGTGGGGAACTGTTCCTGGAGTCAGGGCAGTTACACGCTTCACACAGCCATTGTGCTGCTCCCTCAGTCCATGATCTCACTTGCCAGCTGCTCCAGGTGACTCATTTCCCTTGGTCCCTGCTCAGTGAAGCCGGAGCTCAGCTGCCAGACTTTGACTGTCCCAGCAGCATCCCCTGCTGCCAGGAGCCGCGTGTGCTTGGTGTTGAATTCCAAACAATACACAGGGCAGTCACTCACAGACTGCTTCAGGGACACTGTGGGCTTCTGCGTGCTCCTCGCCAGGTCAAACAGGTGCACCTCTCCTGCAGACACAGACATTCATTGCAGCTTCATGGCAACAGACATTGTATCTAACAGCAGGTGAGTATCTGCTCAGTCTGGCACTGAGAGTTATTTTTAACCTGTTTCTCCTGCTGATGGGTGTCTAGGCTGTGACAGACAGCTGACATTGCTGAAGGCAGCATGGATTTGTTCTACTGTCAGAAACCTGAAACCAGCTTGCCAAATTTTGTGAAATCTCTATTCTTTAACTCAAAAATGTTAGGGCAATTTTTCTAAGGAGAAAAAGATTTCATTGTAAACCATTAGTTCTGGAAGTAGATGTCAAAAACAAGCTGGAAATAGATTTAGCCACAGTGACCTTGCTGTGCTGTATTCCTGTGAATACACACTGGGGTAACAGATTTAAGGGTACCATCAGAAGTGAAAAATGACTGCTTGTTCACCTTGTTAAAAGTTAGAAATTACTTCTTTGTATTAATTACACAGTGAAAACAATGGCCACTGTTCTTTGCTTGTGTGATCTGCTAATCAGTGCAATCGATCTGATTAATTATAACCCAGCACACTCTTAATTTTATGCCCAAGAGGAGGCACCTGCAGTTACTTGCCTTCCCCAGATGCAGCTGCAAAAACCAGTGGTCGAACTGGAGACCAGCATACACAGAACAGGTATTTCTTTGATAACTGTAGAGCAAAGAGGGGCTGTGTCTGCAACATGGAGTGCAAGTGAACTTGTCCATCGGTCCCACAGCTCAGAAAGAGGTTCCTGGGGGAGGGAGAAAACAAGAAACAGCTCTTTTTGTTCTATAGCTAGCGATAAAGAACAGAAATCAGTCAAGGAGCATGACCTCGGACAATATTCCTGCTTTGTAAAGGTCTGTGTTTCCTAAAGCAGCAATTGCCAGGCTGTGCTGTGGGCTGTTTGTTACTGCCCCCAATTAAGCTTAATGAGGGCTTGTATTGACCACTGAGGGGTTGTGGCCCAGGGCTGCCAGAAAACTGCTGATCTAGAGCTGAGCATTGTGTGAGCTGGAGTTGTCTCATGCAAATTAAATGCAAACCTGGGCTGTCAGCATGTTTCACAGAAACAGGGCTTGGGGCCTCCACGGATGGTGGGTGAGTTGCTGGCAGAGATGGGAGCTTCTCATTTAAATTCTGGCAGCTACTGCTGTCAGAAAAATCTTCAGTAAGATATTTAGTGATCTGCCCAAGTGAAGGACTTTTTCATCTCCTTGGCTTTAAATTGAGTTTTAATTGTAACAAACAGGATGATCTAAGGAAGGTGCTTATGTGCCCACATACAGCATAGTCCAGTAGGCAGCTTCACCAGAGCCAGTGGCTGTTTCTCCCACAAGGGGAAGTTCCTAAAGCCAGGTGACCCCTTTTTTGGAACTTGTACGCAGCCCCAGGGGCTATTTTGTGTTTAGAGCCAGGCAGTGATCTTTTCCCACATGCAGCACTTGCCTGTGGAAGGGCGAGCAGCTCACGGAGTACACGGGCCCAGCATGAGGGGAGAAGGCGAGTTCTGCTGGTGCCCTGAGGGGAACGGAGCCACCCGGCCGCGGCAGAGCCGGAGCCTGGGCCAGGGTGGAGCACCGCAGGGAGTACCCGCCTTCCACACCCACGACGAACACGCCGGCATCGAAGTGCGAGAAGGACAGCGAGGTCACCCCCACGGCTGCCTCTCCCCACGCCACCTGGGCAAAGAGACACAGAGCTGGTGTGAGCTGGGGCTCCCCACGCGGGCAGAGCCTGCTGGGGCCCAGTGGGCTGTTCACAGCTCCGTGTTTGTAGCACTGAATCCTTCCTCCAAATGGGTTCACATCAATTAACACTACAAGCAAGTTCTCCGTCCCGGCAACTTCTCTTTAGAGCATGGCAAAACCTCAGCTGTTGTCAGTCTTGTAAGAATGATTTCTGTTCAGCAAAGGAGCTGTGGATCAAGGGGGTGTGTGTTCAGAAGGGGCTTTTCCTGGCCCTTCCTGGAACACGGCAAACTCTGACACTTGGGCTCCAGGGTTCAGAATGTTTTTGTGGAAAGAACACTCTTTGAGCCGCTGAACTCACCTTCTTCAGCCGAGTGCTGCGAGGGATCTGCTGAGCCACGATGGCAAATCCTTCAGCCAAGGCCAGCCGCCCATCCCGCTCCTCCCTCCACACGAGGATCTTCCCATCTGTGGCCACACTCAACAGCCGGGCGTGGTTTCTGTGCTTGGTGTCAGGTAACCAGTTAACCTGTTCAAATGCCATGAGCTCAGGAAAACGGGGACTGTCACAACTGCCCAGCCCATGCAGCCTGCGGCGACACAGAGCAGAGCCAGGCACCAGCCTGGTACCAAATGAGCTTCTGCTGGGAGCTGGCACAGATGCAAGGAGAGAAACACATCCAGTGTTCAGGGCTGAATCTCCATTGCAGTTTCTATGGTTCACCTGCCCTCAGTTTTGGGATGGGCATTTACGGCACTTTCACCCAGCTCTAAACAACAGCATTTTCCTGAGTAGCAGATGAGAAAAATACACAGAAGGAGACCCCAGAATACACAAGACCCCAGAAGGGCAAAATCCTTAGGAAACCAGACTGCATGACATGCTTGTAAATGTCCTAAAAGCATGTGCCTTTAAGCTTCCAAAGATCAGTGACACTTTCCCATTTGTGTTTTTAAACCACTCCAAGTATCATTGCTGCATCTTCCTTAACAAACAATTGCAATTTGGGAATGGCTCTGCTCTTCATTTATCCCGGACAGTGAGAAGTTATTTTTCACAGGCTGTTCAGGAGCTAATTTGGGAGAAAACAGCCAACCAAATATAACTGCTGCAATGTCTGTGAACTGCCTGGCTGTGGATGGGAACCAAAGGGATGACACAAAGCAGTGGCAACTCTCACCTGCCCAGCCCCGTCTGCTGTCAGTGTTCTCTGTTACCTGATAGACTGGGTCAGTGTGGGTGTCATCTGTCATCCCTGTCCTCCAGATCACAGGGTCTTCTGTTCTGCTGGTGTCCCACACCACCAACTCCCCACTGAACAGGCCACCTGAAAGGACAAATATAAAACATCTAAGGTGTGACAGCTCAGAACATATGCACAAATGGAGCAATGGTGGAAACAGACCCACCAGCTTCAAAGGTTGGGCAGTTCTGTGCAGGGCACAGCCAGTTCTGGTGTAAGAAAATATTGCTCTGCTGAAGTAAGTTTATTCCCTTACAGCCAGGGCTGGATTTCCTTCCTCTGAGAAGAGGATATAAAGGCAGGTGTCACTGCAGAGGCATCAAGCCCCAGTTCAGATGCAACAGTGCACTTATCTGTGTTGGTAGGCATTAGTTTCTCAGTTTGAGGAGCTGCAATGCTGTTCCTTTACAGGAAATCTGAGGCTGGACTCAGAGAGAGAAACCAAAGGATCGAGGTTGCAGGAAAAAAGAGTATGTTTAAAGCATGGTCTGAAGTAAGAACAACCCACCAGCTATCAGTGATGGCTGGGAGGGATGGAAAGCCACGCACATGACAGAACTGGGAACATCCACCACCAGGTCAGGGTGCTGTGGATCCAACCCTCTTCTGTCCAGATTCCAGGTACAAACATAGGATTTTTCTGTGCTCCAGTCCCCATCATCCAACCTGAAAAACAAAAAGCTACACCTTGCTTTGTGTGTTCCAGAAGATTCCAGTCCAGCAGAGCTCTGAGAGTCCCCCCTGGTCACCTCAGTGTGCTGCTTTGTGTCTCTTGAAGGAATCATGAGGGGATGGAACTTCTCTGGGGGCTGGTTTATACAGGATGTGACAGGACACATGTCTGTGCTTACAGCAAAGTGGCAGCTAGAAAATTTTGGGTACAATTTCCCTATTCCAAGACCTACTCACCATTCAAATAATGGGAACAATCAAAAGGGTGCATATGGAAAGTTCATGGAAGGAATTCTGCTGAGGGTACCCACAGACACAGAAACCACATCCTCATCTGCAAAGAGTTGCAGACTGGGAGAGCAGAAGGAGCAACTAACATACAGGTTTACCCTGTTTTACTCTTCCCTATGCATTCTCTCATGGAAACCCTTTTCACTGGGGCTTTTAAGCTAAGGAAAGGGGAGCATAAAAAAAAAACAAGGGCAGCAGGAGGGCCAAGAAAGAGGGGGCTGCTACAGATGTTAATGGATTAGATAAATGATCTGTGAAACCCTTATTTCAGACATCCTTAAACATGTTATTACATGTCCATGCCAGCAGGCATGAACAGGTGCCAGGTTCATCCAGGGTGCTCAGAGACCACATTAAACATCATGATCTCAGTGAAGATAAAGTGCATTCTCCCAAACCTCACCTACAGATATTTGCAAGTGCATCTGCTCTTTATATTTTACAAACAGAATCTACCTAGAAACAAATCAGTAACATCATGCATCCATTTTCAGGGCGGAGAGAAGGTAGAAGAAATAAAAGATGTAATTCAGGACTTGCCTGAGATTTTGTTACTTTGAAGATTTATGATTTAACTTGCATAAGGAGTGGATATATATATATATATATATATATGTCCGTTTATTACTGCAGAAAAAGCAAACATATATTGACCTCAGGTCAGCCTGAGACATCACATCAGCCTCAGCTGCACTCCCAAATCCGTCTGGATACCCACCGGCCATAGGAACATGCAATGACAGATCCTGTGGCATTCCATGAAACACTGGTGACCTGCAGGTTTTGATCCTGAGCCTCTGGGTAGGACAATGTATGCAAACACAACACCTGGAAGAGATCAAATCCAAGCACTGAGGCAACAATCTCTAAACAGAGCTAAATGAGATCTGTGCCCACCCCTGATGTGATTGTGTGGTTACAGTGTTGGTTTTCCTCAGTCCAAGAATTTATGTGAAAAGGTTGTTGAATTCCTGTTGGGAAACAAACCCACAACACAACTGTCACTCAAACACAACCTCTCAGAGAGTGCACAGCTCTGAAAGGCTGTGCCTAGGAGTTTACAGCAGCTGCCAGGTGTGAGTTTGGCACTCACTGAGCTTCACAAGTAACAGCTTGAAAATGCCAGTCCCAACATGTACTGTCTGATACAAATTGCTTCCATTCCTGAGTACCATGCAGTAAACAAATATAATCTAAGCAGGCAGAGCTGCCAACTCACTGACTGCAACTCTTCCTAGATCCCTGCTAGGCTGGAGTGCTCTGAAGGGGCTGCAGAAAAGCCTACACCAACTGCAGGCTTCCTCCTCTCACTGCTGCTACAGCTCAGTCACCAGCAGGAAGAACAGTTTTACCAAGCAAAGAGAAAGCTGAAAAAAACCCCAAGGCAACCCAACTGGTAATGTTTCATTATTAGAACCTGGTAAGAACAATCACAGCAATAAGGACTGACAGCTTAGAGTAACTGAACTCTGCTTGGACAGTGACCTGAATTATGTCACTTACTGTTTCATCCTGATCTGTCCAGTTCACTTCAAAGCCATCAAAGGCATGACTTTTCCAGTTTTTATTTAGTTCTTTGATAACAGCACCCTCCACTCTCTGAAGGAATGACAGAAGCCCAGTGTAATCTACTTGGACTTCTTGCTGGAAGTCTTGGACAGCATCTTTGCTCTGTTCTGTCTGCACCGCAGCATCTCGGGCTGTATGAGACTGTGCTGCAGCTTCTGCTGTTGAAATTTTCCCAGTCTGGCAAGTTTTCTAGTGAAAGAAGACAGACATTCTATAATCCAAGCAGAAAAACAAGTGTTGCACAGCGCACTGAAAGCCCCTTCCCGCCGTTTCACGGAGACATTCCAGCCCCTCTGCACAGCTCTGGATCATGGTTAAACACAGGGTACCGCCGCACCTGCCCAGGTGCTGGTGATGAGTTTGTGACCTTCCCACAATCTGATGGGAGGCAGAGATGCCCGAATGCCAGTCAGACTCGGGCAGTGCTCGAAAGCACGGAATGGGAAGGCCGGGAGAAGGCAGCGAGCTGCGGAGTATCGAGCGAGCAGCGCGCACGGTGCCAGTGCAGCATTATCAGCTCTCACACTGCGGGGCGGCCGCCGCTCGGCCGCTTCTTCGCCAGTTCGCACACAGAGCTAACTAAACCGGCAAAACGCTGACGGGACACGGCCGGCGGGCGGACACAGGCCCCGCTGCCCCACCGGTGCCAACAACTCCCTGAGCGGGAGCCGCGGGACCTGCGGGGGGGACGCGGACCAACAGGGAGGGGGAAGTCGGGGCAGGATCCCAGAAGGTCCGGGGAAGGCGCAGCCTCGGCAGCCGCCCCTGCCCGGCCCGGCGGTACCGGAGCGCGGAGCGGGGCCGCCCCGGGGATCTCTCACCGCCTCGCAGCGCGCGCTCCGGGCGCTCCTCCACAGCGACTGCACATCGGCACCGGGAGCCGCCCTGTCCGCGAACATGCCGAGACCGGAGGGGCCCGGGGGGATCGGCGGCCGCGGCCCGCGGCGCTCCCGCCGCCCGCGCCTCCGGTTCCCATGGAAACGGGCGCGCGGTGGCGTCACCTCAGCGACGAGCCCGCCGGCCTGCGAGCGGTAAACTGAGGCGGGCGGGGCCATGTTGGGGAAGGGCGCGGGGCGGCGGTGCTGGGCGGGCGGTGGTTCCGTGCGGGAGAGCGGTGCGGTCTATCCCGGCACTTTCGTTAGAGCCGTGGGTCCCGCTGAGGCTGCATCTTCCCCTTCGGTCGCTCCCGCCGTAGCTGCGCTGGGGCCCGGCTGGTCCCGCCGCGGGCACGAGCGGCAGCGCAGGCGAAGGGCGCGGGGCTGCCAGGAGTTAAGATGGCGGCGGGGAGGGGGCGACAAAGCCGAGCGCGGTGGAGAGCGGGGCTGGGCCGCCTTGTGAGGGGAGCTCTAGCTGGCTGTCACCGTGTGGTTGCCCAGGGAATGGGGCACACTTAGTGCCCGGGGCGTGCTCTGCTCGTTGCTTTGCTCGCTGCCGCCGTTGGTTTTGCTGGGGGAATGAGGGTAATTCGTGCCGAGGGTGAGTTTCCGTGTGGCCGGGCTGGCTGCACGCCGGGAGCCGCCCGGTACCTGGGAAACAGCCCCTGAGCCGGGTAACCTGTGCTGTCCTGTCCGCAGGGACAGTGACTGCGGGTGTAGCTTCTTTAAGTGATTATTCCTAACAGGTATGGCTCTGCTTGGAGATTTTTTCTAACTAACGCATTGGAACAACTTGATGATGAATGCACAGGCTAAATTTAGTGCTGGCATAAGCAGGCACAGATGCACCAACTTCAGTGGAGTTATTCCGGCTGTTGCTGGGAAGGAGTCTGGCCTGTGTGTAGGAATCAAGATTGCAGGATACAGAGCAGGAACTCAGCAGAGTGATCGTAGCGCCTTCACCTCTTGAGCACATGTGAGTCCATTTATATCACAGCTGAGTGCAGTGGTTGGTCTGAGGAATTTAAAGTACTACACAATTAACAGTGAAGTAAGGGTCCCTAAAACGAATGGTAAAGAACTCTTACGGCCATTTTACAGACAGTGAAACTGGAGCAGAAAGAGGTTCAGTGGCACCTCCTTCAAAAGCAAAAAGTCTCAATGGAAATGAATCCTCTAGAATTTCAAATCCTGGCTGGAGTGGACCATCATGATACCCCATAGAAGAGACAAGAACCTAAAAGCATAAACACTCTTGGGCTGGCCCTTTTAGCCCACAGGAGTTAATCTGAATTTCCAAATTTCAAGCCTGGCATCTCCAGCAGCAGCTGGTTCATGTGGAAGTGTGAGCAATGGCAGAGACTGGCTGGATGTAACTGAGCACTTTCCCAGCCCATTTCTCCTGCAGGCAGGCTCCTCACTTTGGGTCATTGCACGGGGCAGCTTTTTATGTGTTGAAAAACTGATACTAAATATTTGAACCCAATAGCAGAGTAGTTTTCTTAAGAAGGTCTTAATACTTAAAATTTATCCTCTGTAAATAGATCATCTTCAGTCATCAATAAATTCTCTTTACTTTATATAATTAGAACTGTAGAACTGCCAAGGCATATGATTCTTCAGTAGAAGAGTAAATATTATGAGTGTGAATTAATATACAGGCTGCATCATCATAAAAATGCTAAGCACAAACTGCAAATTAAAAACTTTAAATTAAACTTATCAGGGGGGACTTAAGGAAAAAAGTTTGTGGTTTTTTGAGATGGCAAAGAGATAAGAAAACTGGAATTTAGGTATGTGAAACAGACCAAAATTAATCAATTTTTTTAGCCAGTAGTATGCAAAGTTACTGCAAATGTAGAACATGTTCCCTGTAACGTGGTGCATGTCTGGGCTTTTCCTTCCCTGAGGATGAGAAAGGAGCACACAGCTCCAGACAAGGATTGTTCTAAGTAACTGCACTTTGATCCTTTATTCCAGTTTCTCTGATTTGCTGAGGTTTCGATATATAAAAGGTATTTCAGGAAATCTTACGTTGCTTTTTTTTTCCTGGCCTGGCAGTATCAGATACATGGATGTTTTTGTCTTCACATCATCAGAAATAAGGCAAAATCGGGGATGAGTGGGGGAGGGCTGTTACTTGCCTGAGGCTACCCAGTCTCTTTTAAGTGGCTGCTTTTACGGGGCTGATCTGTGCTTTTTCCTTCCAGTTTCACGAGACACAGTATAGGAAGTTTTAACTTTTACATAATGGAGCAAATCAGCATCAAAAAACAACAAAAGAAGGCTGAGGTAAAGAGAAAACAAAAAATAAAAGTGAGGGGGAAAACATCAGAAAAAAGCTGCACGCTAGCGTGTGATCGCTGTGACCTGAGCAAAAGAAATACTCGGAGCTGCATCTCAGTAAAAATTCCCCCACTAGTGGGTGCAGTCGCTGCCCTCGATTTGTGATAAATGCAACTATTCAGTTCTGTTGAGGCTCCAGACAGGCGAAACAGGAGATTGTACCCGAAAACGGAGAGTCGTAACTGAGCCTTCTCCTTTTACACCTTCCCCTTCATTCCTTCCACCCCAAACAGATGCCTGTAAAGACGAATAAAACAACAAACACAGATCAGTCCGGCCATGAGAGAGTTCTTGGACTTTGTCTGGCAGGGAGTGCCTTGACAGGGGATCGAAGGTATTGCCTTTGGCGTTTGATGACTGTTCAGAGGAACAAAACCTCATACAAATTCTCGTTTATTCATAGCAAGCCACAGACAACAAACAAAACTCTTCAATCGACAGCAAGGGTTTTGTCACTCCAGAACCTACTTGTTTCTTCAGCTTCTATAACCAGCAAGACCTAAAGCTGTTCCCTGATAGTTCCCATCCTACCTGTGCACAGCTGAACAGCCCGAGGGGACAGATGAGGTCTGCCTGAGGCCTGGGAACTGAACTATTGCCTTTGCATTAACCAAAGGATGTAACCTGGAGTTTGAAGTGGCTTGATGCTGATATTTTGTGCTTGTCATTTGACTATAGGCAATATCTGATCAGTTACTCCCATGTTTCTTTCTTTGTTAGAAATTAATGATTTTAAAATTCACCAAACCTTAGTGGAAGTGAGGTCCCCACAGCTGTCAGTGTTGAACCCATGTCCATGTACCCCACTAGGTGCTCAGGAGCCTGATGAGGGTTCAGGTCCTCGTGTGGATTCTGTGTTACCTCAAGCTGTGTGATTCCCCCAGCTATTTCTTTTCCAGTGCCATCGGTAACAGGCTCATGCATTTTCTCTAATTTGTGACCTCCTTTTCCCTGTCCCCCCTCCCAAATGTCCCTGCAAATGCTCTGCCTTTTTTGCTTTGAAAACCTATTTTTCCTTCTTAGCAGAAAACATCAGCTTGCTTCTGAAGTCCTGTTATGCCAAAAGACATAATACATTATCAAAATAATCCATCTCCATTAAAATCATGACCTATTGTGCTTTGCAGAATTAGTCGGGGGTTCCCTATAAATATGGGTGTGATTTCTTGCCCTGTGCAGGTATTGTTTATCCCCTATTAATTCCTTCATGATTAATAATAAGACAAAGATTTTAGTCAAGTGTAAGCAGAGCAGGAAGGAGCAGGGGGGAAGCTCTGTGGCAGGTGGCAGCAAGTTACCGCCACAGGGGCACAAAGGCACTGCCGGCAGGGTTGGAATGGCAAGCAGAGCTGGCACGGGGCCCAGTGCCATGGATTGTCCAAAGAGGCATCTGTGAAAGGCTCAGGATCCTGAATCCTGGCTGCCATGGTGCTCTGAACTCGGTGGCAGCTGGGAGTCTCTGCCTTGGGCAGGGGATTGCTGCTGTCAACAAGGTGACTGGCAGTGTCTCTCTGCTTTTGGTCTCAGCAGCCTCTAGTTCCTGCTGAGTTCGTAGCAGCATGTCCAGCATCTCATCTCAGAAATAAAGGTACAATCTGCTGTGCCGCTCCTCAAAGGTACCTGACCCTTTGCAGTGCTGACAGCATGAAAGAGAGCAGAGATCCCTTAAATTGATCCCATGTTCAGTAAACATGCATGACTAAAAATTAGTTATCTGTTCTGTACATCACTTCATCAACTCATATTGCATCTGTAGTGCCTCAAACAGTTGTTGGAATTTTAACTGCTATGTTTAAAGCCAGTGGCTGTATTAGAAAATAATGTGGACAGATATTAATCCTCTAAACAGAACTGGCTTTCCTTGGCAAAAGTTATTTCAAAACAGGACATTCAGAAGTAAGTTGTTACACTCCACTTGGTACCGTCAGATCTGTGCTGGTGTAAAGCAAGCAAGCAGAATTTGCATGATAGTTCTGGGTTGCTCTTCAGAAATATCTGTATTTATTTAATTTCAAGCATGCCACTTTTATTTCTGAGACATTATTTCTATGAATACTGAATGTTCAATAAATACATCTTAGTTTTACTGGGGAATGGATATGTAATTTAAGAGTGGAGAAGAAAATAATGTTTCTACCATGTTAGCAAATGCAACAGGAAAGACAGATTTGCAAGGACTCTTTTTTCTGATATAAATTTTACCTCCATTTAGTGAGTTTGCATATTGCCAGATTAGCTAGACCAGCAAAAACACTTACTGTGAAAGCCACTTCTTAAATGGCAAATAAAAATATCTAATTTGATTTTTTTTTAATCCCAAGTATAACAGAGATTACAAAGAATCCTGGAATGTATTATACAAGCACAGAGAGATAACTTGACAAACTTATGCACTGCAGAAAGATGATCACCTTCTCAAAAGCACATGGAAGATGAAGGGAAGCAGAGTATCTTGTATAGACAAATTGGATGTGTCAGTACAAGTGTTTTAACTGCTCGCAGAAAATGCCAAGTGATTTGTAATGATCACTTTCTTTTTATCGTCTCCCTTTATCTTGTAGCAGAGTGACAGTCTGGTACTGAGAAATAACAGAATGAACCACCCCTACAGCCTGTTTCTGTGACTTCATTCTTCAGTATATATGTAGGGCTCCCAACACAAGTACTGATCCTAGTCCAGCTTGGAAAAAAAAAGAAAGGAAAACATGACAAAACAGGGCTTAAGCAGCATGAATGTGGCTCTCTCTGGAGAAATGTAAAAGACAATTGCATCAATTACATGCTGGTTTTGGAACTCCATGTAGCTTAAGCCTATTGAAATATATATTTGTGAGCGGGAGTGGAGGGGC